TGTTCTCTCTTTCTCTCTCTCTCTCTCTCTCTCTCTCTCTCTCTCTCTCGTCAAATTAAAGTAAACATAGTCAACTAAAATAATTCTTTAAAAATATTTAATTTTATTATTTATGATTATTATTAGATTTTAAAATATGCTATAGGACATGCACGCTCACCAGCGAGAGACAGTGAGAAAGCAAGCCACCAGGTCTGGGACCTAAACTGCCATCAGCCCTGTGAGAGTCCAACGCCTTCACCACGCCACCTGCTGGCCCCCAGATGAGTCTTATTTAGCTGCAATCCACACGTGAGCAGGGCTGGTTCCACGGAGGCTCTGGAGCTGCAGGGAGGCTGACCCTCTTACTTGCCCGTTCTGGTTCTAGAGGCGGATACGATCCTTGACTTACGGCTGGCTCCCCCCCCTTTTTTTTTTTTTTTTTTTTTTTTTTTTTTTTTAAGCTTCTTTCTTCCTTCCATGAACAAGACAGAGACAATGAGACAGCATTTTCAACAGGGTCTTTTAATTGCAGAAGGCACAGGCACGAGAGAGAGAGAGAGAGAGAGCGAGAGAGCACGAGCACGTGAGAACTCCCTGACGGGGCATGACCACACTGCAATCTCTTCTCCGCCCTTTCGGGGTTTGGGGCATGCACACACCCTGAGCACGGTGTTTTTCAAGCCACCAGGGCAGGAGATGGAACCACAGTTGGTCACGTGGGATCTGACTCCCTTACACATTAGGCCATGAGTCCGTCCCTGACAAGGTCTCGGTCTACACCTGGCTTCAGCCAGTCCTGAATCACAACCCACACGTGCCCACGAGATTCGGGGGAGTCGGATGCAAACCGGGAACCTCCCAGGTGGGTCAGCCCTGAGCGCTTTGCACTGCCACTGTGCGGGCACTGGGCCCCAGAGCCTGCAGCTGGCACCTTCCACCCTGTCTCTGGCCATCAGCTCCTGGTCCGATTCTGACCCTCCTGCCTCCTCTGAGAACTCCTGGAATTACACGGAGTTCAGCAACTGATCCAGGACAACCGAGAGGGAGGAGGCAAGGAGGGCAGGCAGCGAGGAGGGGTGGGGAGGAACGGGGCAGCTTGCCCTGCCGCCCGCGAGTTGTGCACATGCCTCAATTCCCCTTTGTCCAGTCGGTCCTCCGTTCCGAGAGGATCTTGGTCACGCATGCGCATCCGCTTGGCTTTACTTTTTCAAGCTGCCGGGGCCAGGATATGAACCATGGGATCCCGTGGGGAGATTAGCTTTCAATATGTGGACATTCAGACCGCACCATGTCCCCTCCAAGCCCTGTGTGACATCCCCCCATCTGTTTCCATGCCGCTCACCCACCAGCTGTTTGCTCGGATATTAGAAAAACCCCGGCTAGGGACCAGCAGTTAGCATAATGGCTATGTCGCTGGACTCCCACGTAGTTGACCGCGGTTCGAATCCCGGACCCAGTGGCTTAAACTCATGCCGGGCGCGTGTGCGTGCGTGCCCAAGATCCTGAGAGGGGAATGAAGGAGAAGAGATTGCGGCGTGGCCATCCCCCCTGGGGATGGGCCTCGCTTTCTGTCTCTCTCTTTCTGGCAAGCTCATGTGCCACATAGCAAAAACCTCTAAAAAAAAAAAGAAAGAAAGAAGAAAGAAAGAAAGAAAGAAAGAAAGAAAGAGAGAAAGAAAGAAAGAAAGAAAGAAAGAAAGAAAGAAAGAAAGAAAGAAAATGATAAATAAAACAAATAATAATAATAATAACTCTCTCTCTAAAAAATAAATAGAACCAGGAAGGGGCCTCTGAGTTGGTGCAGGCGCTGCAGCCTCGGGGCTGAGCCCGGACAGCCCCACTGAGGATGCGAGAACGGGCTCCTCTGTGTTCACCTGGAAACTCCAGGGGCGGCGGCTCCCTCCCCCAGAATTTGCCACGTGTGTTCTGCATTGTGTCCCCCAGGAGTCTGTAAGCCCAGCCCACGGAGGTGGGGAGGGAAGCGTCTGGATTAACAGTGGCACCCCCCTTCCTCTGTGCCGGGCCACCTCCCGCCCACCTTATAAAGCAGGGCCTGCCTGCCCTACAGCACCACCCGCCCAGCCCAGGCCAGCCTCCGCCTCTTTCTGCTCTATATCCCCTGTTAACATCCGGGCTCTACGCTGCCATGGCTTTACCCCTGGGGTTTGCCCCCTGGGGACAGAAGGTGCCAGATTTGCTGACCAGAGGATTCCTGTCCCAGGTCAGTGATTGTCCTTACTTAGTGACATCCTACTGGACCCTTGGGCCAAGTTGGCTGGGTTTCCATCTTGGCGCTCACCCTTGCTTTTTTTACTTTTTTTTTTTTTTAAAGAATTATTCATTTAATTTAATTTAATGTTTAAATTTTCCTCTAAAGCACATGTGCTTACCAGAGGGAGAGAGAGAGGGAAAATGAGAAAGCAAGCCCCCAGGTCCAGGACTTGAACTGCAATTGGCCATGTGGGAGTCCAGCACCCCAATCACCAGGCTACCTGCTTGTCTCATTTCTTTTTTTTTTTTAAGATTTTTATTTTGCCTTAGGGCACATCCATTTGGGGGAGGAGAGACAGAGACAGCAGAGAGGGAAAGTGAGAACGTATCCCCCTGGGGAGATGGTCACACTGCAAGCCATCCCTTCTCCATTCTCCTCCTGGGATCTTCAGCATGCACATGTGTCTGGAGTGAGTTTCAAGCCACCAGGTCCAGGACTTGAACTGTAGGCCTTGTGGGAGTCCTGTGACGTAACCGCTACACCACCTACTGGCTCCCCCTTTTGTTTTTCCTAGAGGGATCATGGGTGGTTCAAGTCCCAGAACTGGAAACTTGAAAATCACACCAGACACGTGTATACGTGCCCAAAATCCCGAGAGGAGACTGGAGAAGAGGGGGCGTCTATGTGGCAGGCATCCCTGGCGGGTGATTTCTCAGTTTCCCTTTCCCTGTCTCTCTGGCGAGCACATATGCCCTATAGCAAAGACTTAAAACAACAACAAAAGAAGTGTTAGGCAAAGCCCCCCTGCGACCCTTCCCCACTCACCTTAGCTCTGCTAGTTTCAGAGACCTCTTCTGCTCTTCTCCCGTCCTCGTGGTGGGCCGGTGCCTTGGGACCCTGCAAGACACCCACCAGATGTGCTCCATGGCCTTGGACCTCCGAACTGTGAGCTGAGTACCCGTCCAGCCTCTCAAACCACCCAGGCCCAGGTATCTTCTGTTAGCACTGAACCTGACTAGAGCGATGGCCAGATACGCACAGGAAAGCCGGGTCTGCCTGGGCCTTGGTCCGGCCTGCGATTTCAGGCGCCCACTGGGAGTCCCAGAGCGCCTCTCCTCCGCCCTCTCTCCAGCCAGCACATGCACCTACGGCTGCAAACACACACACTGGCAGGGTAGTTACGGCGCTAGACTCCCACGGGGCTGACCCGGGGGCTCGCTATCTCACTTTCCCTCTCTTCTCTGTCTTTCTCTGGTGAGCACGCATGCCCTATAGCAAAATTTTAAAAACAATAATGATCATACATAATTAATTCTTTTAAATCTTAGGAATTGATCCAGGCCCACAATCTAGTGGTTAAGGGAGCGACATCCCACGTGGCCAACAAAGGTTCGAATCCTGGTCCTCCGAGACAACAAACCTGTCAGGCACGAGGGCACTCCTGCCCCAAACCCTGCCGGGTGGAAAAATGAGCGAGAAGAGGTGGCGAGGTAACTGTGCCCCATCGCTTTCTCCTTGTCCTCCTACGGTTTCTCTCTCCTGAGTGCGTGCACCCATCTGGCAATGAAAAAAAAGTTACTTCTTATTTATTGCTGAGTGTACAGTATTTCATTGTGTCTGTGTTAAAGACAATCGGGTGAGCCTGGCAGGTGATGTGGAGGTTAAGGGCCCTGGACTCCCACATGGCATCCACAGTTTGAGTCCCAGACCTGGCGGCTTGCTTTCTCACTTTCCTCTCTCCTGCTCACTCTCACTCTGTCCCTCTCTGGTCAAATTAAACTAAATAAATTAAATTAAACTAAAGAATTCTTAAAATAAATAAATAAAATAAAGACAATTGGGCTTTGGCCAAATTAAAAGTTCATGGGGCCAGCAGGTGGTATGATAATTGGGGGCACTGGACTCCCACATGGCCAACCGCAGTTCAAGTCCTGAACCTGGCAGCTTGCTTTCTCTCTTTTCTTTTCTTTCTCTGTCTGGTCAAATTAAAAAAAAATAATAATAATAACAAATGGAATTCAATAAGTAAACAATTTTTAAGGCCACAAACAACAACAAAAGGTCATGAACATTGTTGTGCAGTTTGAGTGCAAATATGAGATTTTAAAAATTTATTTTTTTTTTATTATGAGATTTTTTTTAAATCTCTCTATGGAGCAGGCAGGTGGCATGGTGGTAAGGTGCTGGACTCCCACATGGTCACTGCAGTTCGAATCCTGGGTCTAGTAGCTTGCTTTCTCACTTTCTTTCTCCCTGTCTCTTGCTCTGGTGAACACATGTGCCCTATAGCAAATTTTAAAATAATAATAATGGGACCGGCAGGTGACGTGGTGGTTAGGGGTGCTGAACTCCCACATGGTTGAATGAGGTTTGAGTCCTGGCGGCTTGCTCTCTCACTCTCTCTCTCTGTCCCTCTCTCTCTCTCTGTCCCTCTCTGGTCAAATTAAAATAAATAAATAAGTAAATAAAGTTAAATAAGATCATTCTTAAAATAACTCCACAATATTAATAATAATAAATAAAAACAAATAAATTATTCTTTAAAAAAATGTATCTGTGGGAACCAGCAGTTAGCGTAATGGCTATGTCGTTGGATTCCCATGTAGTTGACCGCGGTTCGCGTCCCGGACCCGGTGGCTTAGAACTCACGCCAGGCGTGTGTGCGTGCGTGCCCAAGATCCTGAGAGGAGAATGGAGGAGAAGGGATTGTGGTGTGACCATTCCCCCTGGGGGGTGATTTCTCGCTTTCTGTCTCTATG